CCAGGAGAAAGCGAAAGGCCAAAAAACAAGCAAAATGTTGAGATCACTTTAAATTAATTTCAACGGAAAAAGTCGTTGATGACCTTGTAGAATTCAAAGCAGTATATAAATACTGCCAACAAAGATTGGCATGGCAAAAAGGAATTGGTACCACTCATCTCAACCGTCACTACAAATCATGTGCAGCCAGACATGGACTTCTTCCAACTGGACAAACACAATTACAATTTGGCAGTCCAGGCGCCGGTTCTACAACTTCACCCCTATCCACGTGGGTGTATTCGGAGGACAAGACTCGAACCGAAATGGTGAAATTTGTTGCCGCCACTGAGTTGTCTCTGGCTATTGCAGACAACCAACACTTCGTCTCGTTCGTGAAAGAATATCTACAACTGAAGTACGTTGGGATAAGTCGAAACACTCTTCGTGCCGATACAATAAATTATTTCAATAATTCAAAACAACAATTAATTATGGATTTACAACAATATGGGGGTGTTATATCCTTAACTTCTGATATATAGGAAGGGGTTAATAAAAGAGCATATATAGTTGCAACCGCAAACTATATAGACCTACTTTGGTGCATGCATAAGAAAATTATTGCTTTTAGAAATATTGAATTTCCTCACAATGCTAATAATATATATAATGCTATTATCAGTATTGTTAGAGAATATCATTGTGAGAGTAAAATTCGATCTTTTACTTTTGATAATGCTAGCGTTAATAAGGTAGTCGTCGATAAATTGTGTAGGACACTTCAACCTGATTTTGGTGGGTATTTGTTTCATATTCGTTGTGTGTGTCATATCTTGAATTTAATTGTGTAAGATGGTTTAAAACATATAAAGGATGAACTTCAAAGGATTAAGAATGTATTAATATATATTACGATCTCTTCTAGCAGAAAATAAGCATTTGAAGATTTTTGTGCCGAACTAGGGGTGATGACTGCTAAAACATTTGTTAGCGACGTAGGTCATAGATGGAACTCTACATACTTGCTATTAAAATCATGTGAAGGTTTCAAAAATTTAATAACTAACTTTTATAATAATAGACATGTTAGAAGTGATGATGATGGCATGTTTAATGAATCCGATTGGATTTTAGTTTTGAAAGTTAAACGATTTTTGACATTTTTTATGAGACCACAAAAATTTTATCTGGTGTTTATTACCCCACAAGTTGTATGGTGCTTGAACGCCTTTATATAATTGCAAGAACATTCCATAAATATAAAAATGATCCTACTTTTAGTGAAATTTTAATTGCTATGGAATTGAAGTTTAGAAAATATTGGGAAGAACTGCCTATGTTATTTCCTTTAGCATGCGCAATAGACCCCTGATATAATATTTCGGGAACTAAATATGTAATTGATCAAATCAATAACACCTATCACCTATAAGAATTTAGAGCAAACATTATGTAGAATGTATGATTTATATGCGGAAAGAATGGGTACAAATGTTAGTCGGGTACCCTCTGCTGCACATACTCCTTCTGCTGAAACTGAAGAAGATGCTGCGAAAATAATGAATTTATTTCAGGGCAATAATATATTTAGATATGATGCAACTGCAATGTGTTCATCTAGTGTCATGTCGTCTACATCTGCATCTCATCAAACATCGATCGAAACTCAAAATGCGATGCATGTCGAATTAATTGATTATTTCAATCATAATATGCTAACAGACAGAACAATTAAAAAAATTTCAGAAGAAGTAATTGAATTCTGGCGAAGGTATGAAAGACGTTGGCCAATTGTTTCTGCAATTGCGAAAGATCTATTGACACCTCCGGTTAGCAATGTTGTTTCGGAGTCTGCTTTTAGTGCAGGTAAAAGGATTTTGACTGATGTCAGGAGTTGACTGAAAGAAGATGTTTTGAAAGCGTTAATGTGTGTGAAGGATTGACAGGACGCTCATTTTCGACTACGAGATAAATACGCTGAAATTACATGTCGTCAGGTAAGTGATATTTGATTTAATTATATTAATCAAATTTTTTTTTATTTTTTAATCGTTAAATTTAATTTTCTTTAAAAAATTGTATACGTTACAACAAGTTGTTCGTGTACAATTTTTAATTCCGCCTACTTAAAATTGATGTAGCTGGTCCCAAGCCCGGATAAAGGAGGAGGGTTTACATTTTATTAACTTTAAAAAGAAATCAAAAATATATATTTTTTGTAAATGTATTTCAAAAAATAATTCGTTTTCATTATATAAATATTTTATACTTTATAAAAATTATTACAAATTACAATATGATATAAATAAAAAAAATAAAAACTTGTTTTCGTTAAATTATTTGTATTTTTTAACACTTTTTATTTTTAAAACTCTATTCTTTATTAACTTTAAAAAGAAATCAAAAAAATATATTTTTTGTAAATGTATTTCAAAAAATAATTCGTTTTCATTATATAAATATTTTATACTTTATAAAAAGTATTACAAATTACAATATGATATAAATAAAAAAAAATAAAAACTTGTTTTCGTTAAATTATTTGTATTTTTAATACTTTTTTATTTTTAAAACTCTATTCTTTATTTTATTATATAAAAAAAAAATAGGCGAGCCCACAAGCCGAAACTCAGCTCGGCCCACGAGCTCGTTGGCCGAGCCGCTCAATTTCAACGAGCCAAGCCCGAGCTCAGCTCGTTGAAAACGAGCCACGAGCTTGGCTCCCCCCCCGCGATTAGTAATTTGATGTATTAATGTCATTATTTTTATTGTCTGATGCATCAAATCATTAACCGCAACATGTATGCCACGTAAAACGATTGTGATAGTGAGCAACTATAAATATTATTATTCTATTTAGACAACTCCAACAATATTCTTCAAGTATGGCATATCCTAAATGAGATTATTTAAACAAAGCCAAAACAATCCCATGTTTTTTTTTCTATTTTTTAAAATTCATTTCTCTCGGAACTTATTTTCAACTACACATTTTATGAAATCCCCAACTTCTAAAAACTGTTCAATTATATATTT